AGCCCTGCCGCACGCCCGCCCGCTCAGCCCTGCCGCACGCCCGCACACACAGCCCTGCCGGCCCAGCCCGGCTTGGACCAGGCCAGGCCACCTAGCTCAGTCTGCGTCATTAAGGCCAGCGGGTGCGAGGAGCCCCCTGGCATGAACAGCCCCTTCCTGAACCCCAGACTCGTCTGTCCCAGATCAGAGGGGACAGCTGCACGTGGTGGAGAGGGTCGGGTCCAGACCCACATCTCACCCATGTGGCCCCCGGCCCCACCTCCCTGGCTTTGCAGCCATGGGACGATTCCCTAACAAACCTTAGGTTCTGTCTTCTGTGAGATTGGGGGACAGGGCCCCCTCAGGGCAGAGGCAGGGCTGTGGGTTCCTGGCACCCCCACACCATGACGGTTAGGTGTGAATCATTGGGGATTGCTGTGTGTCTCAGATCGTGTGTGAACCATTGGGGATTGCTGTGTGTCCACGGCTGCTCTCGGAGCTGTGGTGCTCCCTGGCCGCCTGCCGGGTCTCGCGGGGGTCGGAGGACGCCTGGTGTCGGCCGGGTGGTCTCGGCCCGCCAGAGGATGCCGGTGTCGGCCAGGTGGTCTCTCTCGGCCTGCTGGAGGCACCGGTGTCAGCCAGGTGGTCTCGCAGGGGCCGGAGGACACCAGTGTCGGCCGGATCTCGGCCCGCCAGAGGACACCCAGGCGTGTCTCCGCAGCCTCTCCCCAGTGGGTTCTTTCTTCCACAGGGTCTCGCCACAGGAAGCACGGTGACCAGAGCAAGCGCACAGGTCAGCGCCCTGGCCACGTGGGGCGGGCGCGGGGCAGGACGGGGTCCATGCAGAGGACACGGGGCAGACGTGAGGGGTGTACCGGACCCCATCTCTACCCCATGGTGGGTCAGCGAGCACTGCGTGCAGAGGACGCAGGCCTCACAGACAGCCCTGTGCCTTGGCTGACGCCCGCGCGGCTGGCTCAGCATGGAATCCCAGCTGCCCGGGAGGCTGAGATCTGAGGATCGCGGTTCAAAGCCAGCCCCAGCAGCAAAGTCTGTGAGACTCAACTCCAGTGAGCCACCAGAAAACCAGAAGTGGTGCTGTGGCTCAAGTGGTAGAGCACTTACCTTGAGCTGAAGAGCTCAGGGACAGCGCCCAGACCCTGAGTTCAAGACCCACAGTTGACAAAAAGGCAAGCACCTGTCTTGAGGCTTAGCTCAAATGGTAAAGCACCCTCAATGAGCCAGCCACCAGAGGGGGAGGCCACAGGGGTCGCCCCGGAATCAGCACAAAGCAAATTCATCTGCATACAGCCAGGGGCCAGGTGGGAAACGGAGGGTGCTTTTCACACAAGGCAGAGACTGGGTTTTCTCAGGCAGGGCAGGCAGCACCCAGCTTCTAGCCCAGTCTAGCCCCGTCTAGCCCGGTCTAGCTCTGTCTAGCTCCGTCTAGCTCTGTCTAGCCCCATCTAGCCCCGTCTAGCTCTGTCTAGCTCTGTCTAGCTCCGTCTAGCTCCGTCTAGCCCCATCTAGCCCCATCTAGCTCTGTCTAGCCCTGTCTAGCTCTGTCTAGCTCCGTCTAGCTCTGTCTAGCCCCGTCTAGCCCCCTCTAGCCCCCTCTAGCTCTGTCTAGCCCCGTCTAGCCCCGTCTAGCTCTGTCTAGCCCTGTCTAGCCCTGTCTGGCTCTGTCTAGCCCTGTCTAGCCCTGTCTAGCTCCGTCTAGCTCCGTCTACCTCTGTCTAGCCCCGTCTAGTTCTGTCTAGTCCCATCTAGCCCTGTCTAGCTCTGTCTAGCCCTGTCTAGCCCTGTCTAGCTCCGTCTAGCTCCGTCTACCTCTGTCTAGCCCCGTCTAGTTCTGTCTAGCCCCGTCTAGCTCTGTCTAGCCCTGTCTAGCTCTGTCTAGCCCTGTCTAGTCCCGTCTAGCTCCGTCTAGCCCCTTGCAGGAGGCTGCCTGCTCTCCCCGCCCTGGGGGCCGGCAAGCAGGGCAGAGGGCCCTGGGTGTGAGTCCACCGACTTCCCTGTCTCCACAGATGTCCAGCCTGCCGTGGACCTGACCCCGCGGCTGCTGAAGCCCAGGAAGGTCTGGATCGTCTACTCGGCCGACCACCCCCTCTACGTGGACGTGGTCCTCAAGTTTGCCCAGTTCCTGCTCACGGACTGCGGCACCGAGGTGGCCCTGGACCTCCTGGAGGAGCGGACCATCTCGGAGGTGGGGGTGCTGAGCTGGGTGGGGCGCCAGAAGCAGGAGGCGGCCGAGGGCGGCTCCAAGATCATCGTCCTGTGCTCCCGAGGCTCCAGGGCCAAGTGGCAGGCCATGCTGGGCGGGGCGGGGCCGGCCGTGCAGCTGCGCTGCGAGCGCCAGCGGCCGGCCGGAGACCTCTTCACGGCCGCCATGAACGTCATCCTGCCCGACTTCAAGAAGCCGGCCTGCTTCGGCGCCTACGTCGTCTGCTACTTCAGCGACCTCAGCGGGGAGCAGGACGTGCCGGACCCGTTCCGCATCACCTCCCGGTACCCGCTCATGGCCGGCTTCGAGGACGTCTACTTCCGCATCCAGGACCTGGAGATGTTCGAGCCGGGCCGCATGAACCGCGTCGGGGAGCTGGCCGGGGACAGCTACCTGCGGAGCCCCAGCGGCCGGCAGCTGGCCGAGGCCGTGGAGCGCTTCCGCGGCTGGCAGGCCCGGTGCCCGGGCTGGTTTGAGCGGGAGAGCCTCTG